GCCCGCTCGAGCAAATCGACGATCAGCGGGACGACAAGTGATATAGATGACACAGGTGACTATGCCAGCACTCGATTCTTCGACGGGATCATGGTGCACACTTCAGCAAAGTTCAGCAAGGTCCCTGATGGATTATTGGCCATTGCGACGTAATCTGAGTAGCTGGTCGGCAGGAATCTTGCATAGTCAGAGCTTGTATGTCTAGGAAGCTACCCATTAATTTACGATTGAAATTGTGTAGCAGGTTCAGGATAGGAACGACTACGGTCAACCTTCTTGAGCTTGACGTTAGTGGCCGATGACGTCATATTCCGAAGATGGTAAAAGCAGTGATGTAGGGGTTGGTCCCGCTTACGGGGAACACCTACAGAATATTTGCCGTGAAACTCGCAGGTACGACGGCACCTTTCGACGAAGGGTTCGGTGTTGTGCGTTATGGGCTAAGTGACTTTTCGGCCTTCATGTATACGCAAGAACCAAAGGGGACGCACCAACACGATTTTTATCTTTGGATTGATTTTTCGCAACTGAGACCACTTCAACATTATCCGATTTTGAAGAAATTTCTCTAGAATATTCATGTCAAAATTCGATGAATAATAATTCAGAGCAACCCGTACAATGTTCTCTCAAATAGACTACGCATGTCTATTTTGAGAGAACAACAATTTGATGTTGTTTTCGTTGCTGCAGTTGAGCGAGCAAAAGCCTTTCATAGGGATCCTAGCAGCCTGGCCTCGACTGCAGTCATCAAAGCAGATTCTTTTCAGCTTTTACTCATGGTCTTCCTTTGATGAAAGGGTTTCACCTGTTATTTCTATCCCACACACCGGAGTTAGTAAACCCTGAAATCTTAGGTTCCTCAAATGTTGAGCTGTCGTTCTGACTTTATGTCATGGCCGTGATAATGCCATCTACTATATAAAACCTTTTTGACATGAGCATTCCCTCCATGAGGTGTTGCTGTCACAAGTGGAAGGGAGTGCAGCTTACGCAGGAAAAGAAGGTCCCGGCGCTTGTCGGGGTACAAGTCTGTTTCAAAAATGGCATGAAAAGTCGTTAAAACTAGTGTTTGTGGAAATTGCAAGTTTCAAAAAACTTTCGCTCCTCTTTGGCATTTGTGAAGCTTCTCAGGTGAAAAATCTTATCACTGTGTTCACCACCGGCACCCCCAGAACGTGGAAGTGGCCGGATTGAGTAAGCGCATAGTTTGTCAAAGGATTTGCAGCAATGGCACTACTATCAATACACAGGCTTACATCAACTGGCCCCGCAAACCACTCTATAGACCAGTTACGGAATCTACAGAGCGAAAGAGAGACGGTAAATGACTGAAGCTGCATTATGGAAATCGTAGAGAACTTTTAGAGGCAGATAGATCTTAGGTGGGTTTGTTGGTGTGTCTATCGGTGCGTGTTTTCGTAACGCAAGTGACAGTAAGGATAGCGCTTCGGTTCTCACATATGCTGTAGGAGGTGGGGCTGCGCTGGATTTCTACGTTTTTTCATTCTACTTCTACTTTCAAAACATAAAAAGATTTCATTATTGCGCTCCTAATTGGCAATTGCTCGCAGGCTACTTGCCAGCAATTGCAATTAGGGCGCATTTTGTATGCAGGATGTCCAAACAACTCGTCTAACAAGTGTCTTCCTCCATTGCTAAATGGCAGAGGGGGAGTCCTGTCTAAGTCCCTGTTCGACGTCTTTTTTTACTTTTTCTTTCATTATTAGTCAACTTTGTTTACACGCTACAACATTCAGTAACTGTGGTTTCTTGATGTGTATTCAGTTCGTGATTCGTTGCTCATTACGATTTATTGAGCAACGCAATGCGACCTCTCCAACAGTATGAATTATTAATTCGTTTAACGAAGAATTTCATGCGTACTGGGAAATGGGCTTTATCAGTTACCACAAATACGAGTGGCTACGCCCCATGTATGATGAAAGAACATCGCAATTCTATGACAACTGATGTCGGTGATTTGCAACAGATTGTGGTATCGATCAAAAGGAATTGATAACATCTGATATCGTTTAGCTTTATGGAATCTTGCCACATTACATAAATCCACAGTACGACCCCTATGGCCCAAGTACAGTAATGCATGTCTTAAAGGACGAATTCACGATGAAAAAGCAACCCATTTCAAATTAACCTAGGGATGGTGAGTGGTACACGAAAGAAGGAAGAACCATGAGAAACGGCCCAGAACCCGAGAAATGGTACCCCTTCCTTGCCCGTTGATTCGAGCATTGATGCGATACTCTATCGCTGTGCCCTCCTCAACATCACTACGCTCTCTCTGCTATCTAATCACTCGCCACGTATTGAACTACGGCGAGTGATCAGATGATCGGTGGGCGGAGATCGCCGGACCCGCCAGCTTTGAGGCATGATAGGTCGCCGAGGTCAAATTTTTCCATGCGAATTGCGCGTCAGTTCGCACCCTCAGGAGGTCCGTGGGTCCCTCAACTAGGTCAGTTTCCCTTTCTTCGACCTTCATTCTAATCGTGAATTCCTCCTTTAAAGTGGCACACATCGTCATATCAGATGGGCCCATGGCAAAAAACACGCATTGCTTGCCACTGAATATAGCTGGCGATGGCCATCATGATTGGTATTTAACAAATAAAGAGCTGGTAGGTGCCAGGCCATATCTCTAATTGATCATACAAATCTATTCGGCCGCTTGGGTATGTAGTCTCCAAAAGTAAAGGATATTTTGGGAATCTACAAGCTACGATAAGTGACTGATTTGTCACCAACACTACAGTAACCTCTGAACATCAGTCAGATCCACTGAAAGCATCATGCTGCCTAATACAAAAGCTCGGCTGACTAAGTATCTTTGAAGCGTATGTACTTTGACGTGCACTCTGTAGTGAGCGGAGCCAATTGAGAGAGAAAAAACCTTTATACACGAAATAACTCAAATGGTTCGTTTCACTGACCCAGTGATTAAATCCCTTTTTATTCCTTAGCAATTCCTGGTCCTCTTACAGCAGTCCCAATGATCTTCGATTTCCAGAGAAATCAAGGACGGTTGGGTCACATCTAAAATTCAAAACTACACCACGAATGTCTTCTTATCTGTTGGCCGTTATCGTCTCAGAATTCGAGTACAATGAAGGCTACACGAATAGCAGCGTGAGGGTGAGAAAGACATCTCTTAGTGCTCGGCTGAGCATATTAATGATTTACCCCATTTAGTTCCGAATATGGTCACGTCCGGAGGCGAAAAGTATGACAAAATTTGCCTTAGAGGCCGGTATAAAGTGTTTGGATTACTACGAGAGAATTTTTTGGCATTCCGTTCCCTCTTGAAAAGCAAGGTTTGTGCTTGAAGCTGCTCAACAATGACATCAAGGGAAAGTGTCTGGAAGCTTCTTCACAGGTTTTTCTGCGAAACGTTTTATTTTCAGATATGGTTGCTCTTCCAGATTTCTCACTAGGCGCCATGGAGAACTGGGGCCTCATCACTTATAGGTGAGTTGCCAAGCAGATAAGCCTTACAGTTTATGCTAGCAGTGTAAGCAATTGATGTGGGTTTCAGTCCCGTTCAGTGCAAAGGCCCTGTTCAGAACTGCAATAATGTGAATTATAGATTAAAGTAGAAATTATAAATAAAATTATCATTATTGTAATTATGATAAAAAAGGCTTGAGACGACTCCTTCGTAAGGTTTTTATTCATTGAATTTCAGGGAAACCGCCTTGTTGTACGATGAAAGATACTATGCACCGTTGAATAAAGAAAGAGTTGCTTTCGTTGTTGCTCACGAACTTGCCCATCAAGTGAGTTTCTCAGGATGACTTCTGATTGTTCAGACGGTTTTCAGCTGCACAGTGCGTATCGCATGCTTACGGCTTCATAATTGCCGGTTATTTGAATGAACCACAAGGATTCCTGACAGCTGTGATGGCCAGTGTACCCACGGCGATCAAAACCAGTCAACAGGTTTCCCAATAGATTGATCGAGTATCAGCTCCATCCAGGCTCAGTCTGGCCGATTCATAAAGGAAACGGTTGTAAAGCGTTTTGTGATTCCGGAAGGAGATGAGGGGGGGGGGGCGAACAAGTCGATGTAGTAAGCCGGCAAAATTGGGTCCTATACTATATACGAGGAAATATAAAGCATAAATTGAGGAGGACACGTAACTGTGCACACCTGCTGCTGCTTCTTCCCTCGCTCATTCGCAGGGTATGCTATCTTGAGGTAAGCAAACCAGCCCTTTTGGCGTTTCGGCTGGGACCGTATGCTGAATGTTGGGGAGGGGATGGGGTCCCCAACGGTCGACGGTTTACTTCAACTCGGTTGGTACGATAGGAGAGTACTGACGCAAGTGGTGCAGCTGGTCCAGCAGCTCCGCCAGAAGGGCTGGTTTGCTCACCCCAGGACTAAGCCTTGGAGAGGGGACGGACCCGTCCTCTCTTTAAGGCTTAGTTCTGAGGTAAGCACCAAATTGTGGCGGTTCTAAGGACCGAGTTGAAGTGGTCCGTCCACCGTCGGGGACTCCATCCCCTCCCCAACATTCAGCATACGGTCCCAGCCGAAGCGCCAAAAGGGCTGGTTTGCTTACGTCGGTCTGTTTGCCCCACGTGTGTTCATTCTGTACTAGGTAATTACGGAACTAGGTGTTTCTGCCGTGACTTCAATGCTTTCGATGTACAATACCCACCATGGATAAGATACCCGGCCTAACCTTGTGACACTTCAGGTGATACCGAATCTCGCGACACATGCACGATAGCAGGCTCAAGCCAATTCAAAGAACACCCTGCTGGTAGAGTAGTATAGAACCTTTTTCGCATAGATTAGGAATCTTCCGCGGAAAAAGCTCCGCCTCCATTACCACAGAAAAACGATACCCCTTAGGCCCCTAGCCTCATGAGCATAGCAAAAAGAACGGAACATAAGCGTTAGTTTCGATAATACTAATCCTACACACAAGACAAAATGATCACTCTTTCCGTGGAAGATTCCTTTAACATGGGCGTACTTATTGGTATGCTAGTAACGAAAGGAAGCAAAAAAGAACTGCGAAAACCTTTCTTATCAACGTAACCACATTGGCTGGACCAGCGTGCTGCTGTGGGAATCTCACTGGTCATCCATCATCTAATATGGTGAAATGCAGTGAAATACGGTAGGTAAAAGGACGAATCAAAGACATTCACATACAAGGGAGGACCCAATAAAAAAAAAACATATTGTCTCCAGACTCAAATGGATTTAATCACACTTTGCTCAGCTCAAAGCGTGTGCTCCCAACTTAGAATTGAAGAGCGCATTTCATTTCATAAGAAAATCTTCATAGTGGCCATCTACGTGGACGGCATCAGGAAAATTTGCCCCGGAAACATGGTGCTCTGGTCGAGCTCAATGGGGTTCTCGACTGATCGTGTACCGTTACGACGGGTTCCGAAAGGGGGTTCCGAGGGGGTGCATAGTTAGAGCTAATGTCCCTAGGAAAACTATCCCACGCGTTGAACCGATCCAAGAAATTATGTAAGAGCTTCAGGATGAAGCAGTTACTGTAGGCCTCCCTGAGCTCGACGACGGTGACAGATGACGTCATATTCTGAAGACGGTGAGGGTAGTGAAGGAGGGCCTGCGTGTACTTATAGAGGGACATTTAGGGAATATTTTGCTGAGGAACTTCCGTCAACGACGGCAATCTCTGCGAAGAAAAAAGGCCGAAGTGCGACCTAGCAAAATGTCTTCTTTTTTTTGCCCCTCCCCCCTGTAGGCACCGGACGGCTAACCCCAACGAGACGATCGACGCGCAGTATTATGTTAAGCATTTTTACCACTTTTTTCGCTTCTTCAATCAACGGTAGACTAACCACTGTAATTGAATCCATTCCGGGCACAAAAATTTGCAGGAATTTGATCGTGAAGTTTGCCTTTGAAGCACCGTACGTGCTAAAGTTTACACTCTCTGAAGTTGCACCCCTCTGTTTAGTTGTTCGCGACCTTGTCAGCTGAAGTGGTGACAATTTGTGTGTTTAACGAACGATTCGCATCGTTCGTGCAATACATTGGAGTAAATGTGATAACCGACGAAAAATTCAGGATGGTATGTTGAATATTCCCCAATGATCCTTTATTCAATAGCCTCATCAGCAATTCATAGTAAAGAAATATAATAAAAGAACGTGAAACAGGGGTGGAATATTTCAGAAGGATTACTTCCTAGTGGAAGCATTCGCACAAGGCATGGAAGCTGACGCGGTAGCTTCGAGCCATCCACTCTCCTTTAGGGTGGACAAGGCTCCAGATGTTGTCGAAGCTTTTGATGATGTCACTTATCGTAAAGGAGCGTCGGTTCTTACAATGCTGCAGGCCGTGATTGGTGAGGAAAATTTCAGACAATGCTGCAGGCCTTGATTGGTGAGGAAAATTTCAAGGAAGGCCATAAGGGTACGTGTTACTCTGTTAAACATTGTTCCAATCTTAGCTCTATCAAAATGGAACAGACCTTTTTGGGCACGCTCGGAACTGAGCTCTATTTTTTGGTGTATGCATAATTAGAGACCCCTGCCGTGCAAAGTTGCCGCGCTCAAATTCTCCTCATCAGTATGCGCTGAAGTTCCGTTCCTTTTCGAAGGCACCCTTCACGGAGAGCTCACACAGATCATTTCATTCTGTGTGTAGGATAGCGCTGCCTACGTGGCAAATGTGCCATTACAGCGGCACCAAAGCGCGGGATATAGCCACTGGCACCCTGCATGACCGCTTCGACCGCTTCGACCGCTTCGACCGCTTTCGCGCAGTAAAATGTAAAGGTATCGGCGCCTCTCGCTCACAGGGCTCCCTCGCCTGTCCTCTCTCCTCCGCGTCCAGTAGTTCTCTTCTTGGCCAGTACCAGTAAGAAAAATGGGTCCCCATGTTTTTTAACGTTTTAAGCTGGTTCTCTTCATTTTTTATAAGTCGGCCCAGCCTACCTCTATGCTTTCATTTTTGTGTGCAAAATCATATCAATTGAAATCGTACCTTGATCGAATCTGCCGTCTAATGTGACGGAACAAAGGGTTCAGGTGTGATATAGTAAGAGGGTGGGAGAAGAGAACAGATTGTACTTTCATTATTCATTTTGAACTCATAAAATAGAATAGGAAATAGGTTTTCGAGAATTTATTTTAGCATTACCTCAAAAAATTCTCGTACAACAACACACAAGCTTCTGATCTGTGGGAAGCTTTCGACGAAGTCGTCAAGGAACGTCACGGGACCCGACGGTAACCCTATGAAAACCACTGAATTCGCTTCTCAATGGACCACTCAGGTAGGCACCCATGTTTTTATTTCAAATGCACTTTTGGTCTTCTTTTTGTCCATTTTGAGAACTACATATGAGATTCTTTTAAATAATTCAGATGGGTTACCCAATGGTAACTGTGGAAACTTTCAACGGAACAACTTTGAAAGTGTCTCAAAAGCGGTACAAAACAAATAAGGACGCTCTGGAGTTGGAGAAGTACCGCCATCCAAAATACGGGTCAGCCTCACTTTTACAATTTTTGCTATCTTCGAATAATAACTACGCTAGATGCTCTTGTTTCGCGCACACCAACACGGCAATGCTTACAGGTTCAAGTGGGATATCCCTCTGTGGTATCAAGAAGGCGAAAACCAGACGATCAAGCGGACCTGGTTAACCAGAGGTATGCAGTTCTCTGCAAATAGTGCAAACATGCAGATCAACATGAGGCTTGGGAAGGATTCATAGGGGAGCATATACCACGCAGTTTTCCAAATAGAATGTGACGAGTGCATGTGGAGAGAATGATGCTGAGGCGAACGATGCGAAGCCGCATAGCCCAGCAAAGTGGGACTCAATCTGTATGGTTTGCAAATGACCACTTGTCGGGCTAGGATAGTATACTATACTGCAAGCCTCATGTTGTCCCGAAAGTTTGCACTGTTTTAGGCTCTAAAATTTATGAGCAAAAACAGAACGCACAGGCTCTCCAGAAAAGTACTAAGACTCTCCATGTCCGCTTTTCTTCAATCTTTATTCTACTGATTTTTTGAGTCACTGATGGAGACTGAGCGGTCATCGGCATTAGTGGAGTTGTGGCCTTCAATAACGACAAATTTTTCGAAACGTCAGGCTCAATAAAGATCCACTATCCTAAACCTGCACAGAAGCAACAATAAATTTCACGGAACCAACACTGTTCATCTTTTAGATGCGGCGATACTTCGATGCTTAGCATTCCTATTCTGGTTTGAGATTTCAAGGTAGTAGATTAGATGATATTTTCGGAGATTTCGGTAGCTCATCCTTCTGTGCCTCTATAGAGATTTTACTCCACCCAATCGGTTTGGAGCAGAAACAGATCAACCTACCCAATCCGCGCCCTTGAATACTGTTGGGCTAAGGTATCATCCAATATCACCATCTGTTTACAGTAACCCGTACCTCTCCCTATTCATCTGGTTGTTGGTTATTGCCACACAACTGGGAGAGACCCTGTAATCCTCTATATAATGATATTGAATTCTCATCGATATTATAAAACCAGAGTTATTTACAGGAGTCAAGACTGGCAGTCTCATCAACTCCCATCCTTTCAACAGTTCGTACTTGTGAGCCTGAGGAGCATGGGACCCCACTTTTTGATTAATCTTCAGAGGAGCATACACTTCTAGCTTTGGTGACGGCTGTATACCAGTAGTGGGCTTAAAAATGGGTCTTTTCTGTCCACCATGGTGTAAATTACACTGCGTTGCAAAAATATAAATCCACCTGGAAAGTTCTTGAAAATTCGCATGATAGGGTGTTTCTGAAAAAGCCTTTGAAAGAAAAATGTGCTCAATATAAATATAATTTCGAGTGTAAACACCAACTTCCATTTCGAAAACACGAAAATTTTTTATTTCATTTTTCAGAAAAGGGCCACTTTGCCGATTGTGCAAAAATATAAATCCACCCCATGTTTCTCGGTTGAACTTCATTGTTATTTGGCGTAACTGTCAGGTTGTTTCCACTTCCTCTTTCTTAGGTGATGACGGAAGTAACACCGCTGTCGGGCTCAGAAAAAAGGCAAAATCTACAAAATAGTGGGGAGATTTGCCGTGCAGTCAAATCGCGCGTGATTTGAGCCCCGTTAACGTGGTTGTTAAGCATTTCGTCAGGAACTCTGCAGCATGTGGAATCCAGAAGAGCACTTGAACCCTTTTCTTCGCGTTTCAGTTGCGATGACCGTAGTGTTATGGGAAAAGCAGCCGATTCTCCCAAGGGGTGCTCAGGAACTCAACCTTCAAAAAAACCTAATTTTTGAAAGACACCGTTGGGCGTGTGTTAGAGGAACTCTGAGACCACTGTTCAACGGAAAATGAGTAGGACACATTTAAAAATCCGGAATCATCGCAAAAATCAAGCCAAGTTTCCCAAGATCAGTGGTCGATCTGGCCGGAGCGAGGCCATATTGGCCGCGCAGTACCTTTTGATGGCTGTCTTCACTTTTCTTACTGGTTTCCTTTTTCAATATGAGTTCCTGTCTCTGCCAAACACACTGCAGAAAAAAAAACAGAGAAATTCAGACAGACAGTAAAAAGTAGCGTGTAGAAAGCCGAACTTAATGCAGCTGGCGCAGCATGCACACATTATGGAAGAGTTGGCTTGATTTTTGGGATGGCTTTGTGTCTTCAACTGTGCCATACTCATTTTCCGTCGAAGAGTGGTCTCAGAGTTCTTCTAACACACGCCAAACGGTGGCTTTCAAGAAATTAGGCTTTTTTGAAGGTGAGTTCCCGAGCACCCTTGGGAGAATCGGCTTTTCCCACACTACGGTCATCGCAACTGAAACGCGAAGAAAAGGGTTCAATGCTCTTCTGGATTCCACATGCTGCAGGAGTTCCTTGACGAAATGCTTAACAACCACGTTAACGGGGCTCAAATCACGCGCGATTTGACTGCACGGCAAATCTCCCCACTATTTTGTAGATTTTGCCTTTTTTCTGAGCCCGACAGCGGTGTTACTTCCGTCATCACCTAAGAAAGAGGAAGTGGAAACAACCTGACAGTTACGCCAAATAACAATGAAGTTCAACCGAGAAACATGGGGTGGATTTATATTTTTGCACAATCGGCAAAGTGGCCCTTTTCTGAAAAATGAAAATAAAAAATTTTCGTGTTTTCGAAATGGAAGTTGGTGTTTACACTCGAAATTATATTTATATTGAGCACATTTTTCTTTCAAAGGCTTTTTCAGAAACACCCTATCATGCGAATTTTCAAGAACTTTCCAGGTGGATTTATATTTTTGCAACGCAGTGTAGAACCTTAGAACGGATTCCGGCCAGTTATCGGGTGGCATTGTAAAGCCTTAGAAGAGAAAACCGTTTAGACCTGCCCAATTGTGCCCTAAGTTACTAATGATAAGGCGGAATCGGAACCCTTGAAGGTGCTCCTTGTCAGAATTTTTCTAATACTCAAAAAACTAAAATATGAAACATCTAGTTCTTGGTTTAGAGTGGGTTGTCTTTGGTGGGCAGTGTGGCTTCAATCCGTAAAGATCAAAGTGTTTTGCTGAAATTCTTCCAGTAACACAAACGTAAAACAATGATATTCTGAAATAGGATGAAATTTTGTTTCGGGAAAAATAAGAAGCTAGGAAGAACAGAAGACGTTTACGTAAGTTTCATGGAAAAAATACACAATTATTATAGTATTTGTAGTGGCATATATACAGATTTTGGCAAGCATTTCGGAGAAAAAAACCGTGGGCGAGGGCGATCGCGTCGGAACGATGAGCAGTTCATCTAACTGTTCTTAAAGGAATCTTGCGCGGAAAAATCATGATTCTATTTCAGCCATAAATCACTGGCTTGAGACTCATTATCCACGATAATAGTGAAAAGAACTGAAGTATTGCTTTCGTTTTGATTAGAAATTCGAAAACTCGAAAAGGCTGCTACGCGTTCGAATTGCCCACGGACGTCTTTCACGAATGCTGGCGACGGGGATGCTCAAACTTGGTTCTTGGAGTGCATTCACTAGAAGCTCTTTCTGGCCTTCTGCTTCGTTGCATTCACATCTTACACTTCTACTCCATCCTATTCCATCGATCGATTTGTCTCCACTCTCCGAAATCGCGCGCTTTAACCCGATTCTCTCATTGCGTCGCCTGGTACGTAGCCGGCCAAACGCCGTCTTCTTTCCATGCCTCGCCTGGCTCTGCCTCCTGGTCCTTCGATGGTCCATAACGTGTAGTTTTTGTACGTTTGTTTCTCTTCAGAAACCGAATCTTCATGCGTGAAACTTTGTGTGCTATTTCCAGTGATCACAACTGACATATTCATGTTAGGAAAGAGTGCAAGAATTTTCCGCGCAAGATTCCTTTAACTTAACATGCATAATGGCTAACGAAAAAAACAAGATTTGGAAGAAAATTAAAGCTACGAAGTACTGAGTAAGTTCTTTTTATGAAAGCTATCACTGAAAACCATATGCCCCTCTATCCATACGATATAATTGTTATCTCTTTTGCAGATGAGCCGCTCTATTTCCACGTGGATAGTTCTGATGTATCCATTGTTGTGAACGCCGACCGGCATGGATTTTATCGGCAAAACTATGATGAAGACGGCTGGAAAAGGATCATCAATCAGCTTGAGAAAAATCATACGGTTGGTACAGCGAGGATCCATTTTATCAGTAACCGCTGCGAGATTGCTGGAGTAGTTCTGGCTTATTAAATTATTGAGATTCAGCTAATACTTCAATGTTAAAGCACTACTAGTCGTAAAGCGGAAACTGGCCGATTTCTATACATGTTTGCCCTGCATTCCCTCCGCTTTTCAAAATTATCATGCAGTTACTAACAGATGATGTTAACAGCGAAAAATTTCATCAGAAGAAGATTTCCTTCCCGAAAGGGATGCAGGCTCCCTAAAGAAGTCGCACGATGCGCAACTCGTTGCAAAGGGAAAATGTAGCGGTGTAAGGCCTTACGCGAGTGCTCTCCACTTTCCAGACCCATCCAAGCGCTAAGTAC